CTTGCTAATAGCGATCTGCGAGTTTAGTGCAAAAACGCATGACCGCACCGGAGAGCCTGGTGCGTTTCAGCTCGGGTTTTGAAAAATGTTCACTCATCCGATGTTGAGGTTTATTTTCAACAAACAGGGAAAAAAAAGTTCCAGAACGCGAATTACCTCAACTTCAGTATCGCAGGACCGCTGAACGTAGGACAACAACTTCTTTCCCGTAAGGTTTTGCTCGACATCAGCTAGGCCGAACCGTCGTTGCGGGAGAATGATGAACATCTGTGTTTGATCACCAACGTACGGCATCCCGAGCACCTTCACGTCGTCGTCTTCATAATAGGAGAACTTCTCCTTCATGGCCATCATGTCCACCTGCAAGTAAACGCCTGAGAGAACACTGTAAAAAACTCAATTTGAATTTCAAAAAAAATAAGTTCCTCAAAATCGCCAAAAACTGTTCAGACGGCCATAACGATGAAATTACGAATCTATTTCTGACCACAATGAGATATTAGCCGTACGCTACAGTACATCCATCTTATTACCGCTTTATTAGCTCACACTGTTCAGGCTTAAAGGAGTCTGTAGCACACACAGTTATTCAGAAAATATGTGTTTTATTGTTCTCCCGGCCTGATAAAACTGCCAGCATGCATACTTTAGAAATTTTATGAATATCTGTGCTTTACTCGGTTTTTTCTTTTCTGCTTTTTTTTGTTCTTCCCTAGAAGAAGGAGGGATATGGGTGAATTTCATGGACACTACAAACTCTGACGAATTATGGTATCCAACCAGAAAGGAAGAATTGCTAACTCGGGACCCACGAAAGCTGGGAGGCTAAAATTTTAAGAGAATGTTCCCAGCACAAGTGCGACTTAAAAACGTATCAAGTTTAGCTTCTCGGTATGCGTGGTTCTCGTGTACGGCCCCTTGAAACTTTTCGAGTGTTCGTTTACACTCGGCCAATTCCCGCAAAGGTAGCGTGCATACATCGAACAATCTGTGGGAGATATGCGCTTAGGATCGAAAAACCAGCAAAGATGTGCCTGGTGTGCAGAGCATCCTAGTAACTTCACTAATATGGAATACCCACACTGATATTATGGATGATCTTGAAAGTAAAATCTATGCCAAATCTTTTTGACCACATTTGAGCATTTATAGAAATGAAAATTCGACCTCGTTTTGGTTATTTTCAGAAATATAGAATGGTTTCTTTCTAGTTAGTTCTTTTCTGAACTGTTCTTTCCATGTCCCTTTGAAGTAGACAGCATTAATAAGCATCAGACGCGTATCATCATGAATGTTCTCCACACATACCAAATTTTTAATTTTATCTCGCGTCTGCTTTGCCACCCAACTATTGATTTCCTGGAATTATCAACATTTTGTGTACCAATTTTAGTACACTATATGGCATTTGCAGTGGAACTATGTTGCGCCTCCTCTGATCTGACCTGAACGACATTTTCAAAGCAATATATGTCGAGTAATCTCGAAAAGATGCGGGAAAAATTTTTTCTGTGATCAAATATTTATTGCACTTTGTAAAAACAAAGTGAGCGCAAAAGATCACGCGCGCTTTGTAATTGGGCTCTGGCCTAAAGGTTTTAGGACAGTTTTGGAGAAGAGGTTATGGGCAGCTGGCTTGGACAGGAATGGGGTTGTGGTGGAACCAGGTTGCGGTGTGATAGTTAAAGTGCAATCGGGTCCTAAAAGAAAAGGCTAGAGTGTGGCCGAAGGGTTAGGAGATTGTGGATTTGGAATTTAGTAGCTGGTATTTCTAGGAAATTGGAACTCCACCCAGCGACAACTGTAAAGCAGGTTTAATTTGTTGAACTGGAAGTGTTTTGCTTAATTTTTTAATAAACACTGTTTCCGTTACGGCAATGTGCACCGAAAGGAAGGGTCAGGCTGGTCATTTGGCAAGCATAAGAGGCAACAAAAAAACAAGGTGGGCTGTTCAATAATACCCGCGCAACGCTAAAAGAACACGGGAAAGGCGAACACTAAGATGGAAGGATCCACTTGAACGTCAAAATGGAATTTCCTGAATAGCGATGAGCTCAAAAGTGAACAGAATGGAGAGGTTGCTAGTTGGCGCGTCACTGCAAAAAGAAAAGCATCGAGGAACAATCGATCAAGGTAAAACATATTACGTATGTCACTGATAAATATTAGAAAGTAAACATAATATGCTTTCGCTAACTCTGCCCGATAAAAGATTTATATCTTTTCCAACTCGCTTCTAAGCAACCCTTGAAAACGGAGCTACAGATAATTTGGCCAGCGGATGATTGCTGCTGTCATTCGCTACCACTTAAGCTACTTCTGAATGCCTCTGTCTCGAAGAGTTTTGTTCCGGAATATGCTAATATGAGTTTAACAACGTAATCAGTGCGAATATTATTACTGCTATGGGCTTGTGGGTGATGTGTACTATGCAAACACAGCTGATAACCGATAACCCAGTTAGCAACACCTAGGGTTTCAGTGGTCATGCATTTTTACGCGGGTCTTGAAACAAACAGACCATTAACAGTATTAATGATTACTGCTCTTCAGTTTAACATGTGTATTCATATTGGCAGCGTTTTTACCTTTTTCTTGCATATAGAGAGGAAAGAGGCGTCAGCTGGGACGACAGTGTTGCACTGTGGGGTCGCGTGAAATCTTAACCTCAGAATGTATGATTGCCGCAATTTTGCATGAAGATGTTGTCCGCAAAATGCACTCTCAAGCTCCTCATATCCGTACATGAGACTTAGGCATTTATAAAAATTAATTTTACACTTACCTCAGTTTGCTGAGATTTCTAGAACGACGGTTGTCCAGGAATTTTGGTGATGTGATCTAAGAGATAAGAAAACTGAGCAGGCCGTACGTGAACAACGACTTCCTTGTCCATGAAGTGCACTTGCTGTAATTGTCCCGCAAAATGCGATGCGATGATTTTCAGGAATGCTTCTTCCAGGGTGAAACTTTTTTCCACGTAAAGCCGATTTGCTGCATCCAGTGTAACACCTTTCTCTGCACTGTTAACATCAGCAAACAATGCAGAAATGTAATTCACAAATTGCTCGTCAGTTTGTCCTGCAAATTTGTCAAATATGTCACTCCAAAATGTTTTTATGTCTTCATTACTGTAAGCTGAATTGCGAACGATTGCTAAGTCCTGACCGACTAAAAATGAGTAGACCCGGCATAGCTGCGCCCTGGCGCATGGCAGTATTCTACTTTAATGTTGTTACTATTATTATTACCATTACTGCTACTGTTGTATTATTATCATTGTTATTATTATACTATAATTACTGTCATTACTATTATTATTATTATTGTTGTTGTTGTTATTATTGCTATTATTGTTATTATTATTGTTATTATTATTATTATTATTATTATTATTATTATTATTATTATTAT